AATTAATAACATTTAAAAATATAATAAATAACATTAATTTAATCACTAATACTATGCGGATTACTTTAATTATCCAATATCCATTGAGAAAGAGATAAAAGAAACTTTAAGTTAATAATCCACTCAACATTGTAAATTTGTATTTATGAATCCACTTGGTATATATGTACAAAAATAATAATAATAATAAAAGGGTTTTGGTGCATGCTGCACAATTGGAAACCTTAAATTGGTGAAAGCTGGGGTCACGGGTGTGCCACTATCGCAGACGTTCCACAGCACCCCTCATATACATTGGTTTTCTCTTGGAAATGAAAGTGATATCCTTACTTGATCAAATAGGATAGAAGGAGTACACAAACAAAAACAAAAAACAAAAGATATGATAGAGATTGATCAGGATAACACCCTCACCGGCCCACCCCATCATTAACAGTTTTTCCACTACTGATTTCCGATGGCTAGTGCCATCAGTTTGAAAAAAAGGATACCAAATTGTCAATTATAGAAAACTCGCACCTAAGCTTATAGTATGGAGAACTCGCACTTGAGTTTATAGGCGGATTATTTTTTGTACAGAGGGAAGTGGGGGTAAGGGAAAGGAGAAATAAGGGTAAGGAGACTCGAATTCTAGTGGTGTGGGTGGAAAGCTTACACAATAAACACACGAGCTTTACACCAAGATTTGAGTTTATAAGCTGATTGCTTAAAAGTGCATCTCACATGAACTGGTTCAAACCCTTCATTTTTTTTTTTTCAAAAATTGTATTTGTTTAAAAAAAATTATAAGAAACTCGACATATGATATCCATTTTCTCAATCTTCATATATCATACGTGATATATGTACCAAAAACAGAGAAAATCCCGTTAATTAATCAAACACTGCATTAAGAGTTGCGATTTTCTCTATTACTTTCGCTTATTTACAAACTCTGCTAATATCGATCTCCAAGCCAAAATAACGAAAAACTCACTTTTTCCATTTACAAAATCCCAAAAAGATTTCAGCCTTTGAAGCTCATACATCTATTTACATCCATTTACAAGAAGGTAGAAAATTAAAGCTTCAAAGTTCAAACTTGATTCTTTCTACTTGAAGATCTTCGAGTTATTAGTTTAGATTAGGATTAACCGCCGCTTGTTATCCATTGATGTCCTGTAAAAATCCCACATAAAAAAAAGAAAAAAGAACAAATTTTATTAGCAATTTGATTGAATGATCTAGAAATACAACTTTGTAGTTTGCAGGTTTGAAGGAAATTTCCTTTTTTTCTCCAGCAAACCAAACAAAGTGTAACATAGTACAGAAATATAAAAAAACAGAGGATTTTCTAACAGAATGTTTGGTTCAAGGAAGGAGAGCAGAGAAAATTCTTCTATTTAGAAGCACGTCGTATATTTCTACTTCTCACCATCCGCTTCCTCAAACCAAACATTTGACAAGAATTTTGTTCTTTAAAAAAATGAAAAAAGAAATAATAAGAGAAACTCTGTACTTACTCAGAACTTGCTCTGCTGTAAACCTTCTGGAAACATCCTTGCAAAGCATTCGTCTCAAGAGATCCTTTGCCGCTGGGGACACGGACTGAAAAACCCCAGCCGGGAACCTCAAATTCCCTCTCAAAACTGCCTCGAAGATCTCCACCGCGGTTTCCCCATAAAACGGCGGGAAACCGGCCAACATTATGTACAAAACCACTCCCGCGCTCCAAACGTCGACTTTCTCACAGTACTCCTTTCCCACCAAGACCTCCGGCGCCACGTAATACGGCGTCCCCACCACGCCTCTCAGTGTCGCTTCCCCTTCCTTCAAAACCTCGGCAGACCCGAAATCGGTCAGCTTCACGGAGTTCTTTGAGTCAAAGAGGATGTTATCTGGCTTTATATCGCGGTGTACCACTCTCATCTGGTGAATGTGGCTGACGGTGTCCATCAGCTGCGCCATAATCAACTTCGCTTCCGCCTCCCCGATCGCCCCTTCATCCGCGATTCTCCTGTACAGATCCCGGGAGGGCGGGCAGAGATCGAGCACCATGTGGAGGTGCGAATCGTCCTCGTAGAGATGATGAAGCTGAATCACGTTGGGATGCGGCGCCACGAGACTGAGAATTTTAGGCTCATTGAACAGACATTGGGAATCCAGAGAGTCCCCCGCAACGCGGCCCTTCTCAATCGATTTCACCGCAAAATATTCGCCGGAAAGCGGCGACACACACTTGTAAACGACACCGAATCTCCCCCGCCCGATCTCCTCACAAAGCTGAAAATCCCTCTTAAGCGCTTCGGTCATTTCTTCCCTGTTTTTTCTTTTTTTCTTGAGTAAATTATGGGTTTCCAGGAAGAGTATATAAAAAAAAGGAGGAGAATCGTTGAGAGAATGTTTTCGGAATATTCGCAACGGGAGATGATGACGAGCCACGTGGTAGAATCCAACGCCATTAGATACTTTTAACTGTTTATTGACGTTGGGTGGGTCAGTAACAAACACCAAACGTGTTGTTTGTGGGGAAAGGAAAATTACAACGGAAACGGAAGTACCCACCATAGGCATAGCCGTCCTAGTATCTCCTAGGGGCGTAGAGTAGCAGTAGGAAAAAAAAAAGAGGGACGGTCTCCGTACTGGGGTGACTATAGTCTAGCGACTAGCGGAATTTAAGTAACAGATTAGGTGGAACTGCCTGCTCCGATTAATTGGTATGACTTAAGTCAAAGTCGTTCCCTTTCGATGGATTGTTTGTTACTTTGTTTGAATCTTAAAATTTTTTTTATTAATATATAAAAAAAAATTTAATAAATAAAAAAAATAACAGATTAGGTGAGTGTCTGTTTCAGTGGTTTTGAAATATTATTTTGGTTGATTTTAATTAAATAAA